TAAGCTACGTAGCTATCTATCTACAGGCAGTTGCCTGAGCAACTATCGGACCGATAAGGCGTAGCCTATCGGGTGCCTCAAGTTAACCGAGATTCCATCGAGGATCATCTAAAGGGCGTTCAGCCCGTTACATAGACGGGCCGATACGGAATAGGCGACAACAAGACCAAACACGCTGTAATATTTCTAACCGCTCTTCTAAATTTGTAGAGAATAACCTTAAGAATAAGTGTTTCATTATCGCGGAGCAATATAAGCGATAGCGTGAGTTTGAAGATACTCAAATCGCAGATTCTTTGCGGCATGGGGGGACTTGCGTGTCGCAGGGGGGACGTTAGTAGAGCTGAATTATACATTTGTACTGATCAGCAAAAAAATTTAGCCCCCACCCGGTTATTCCTTCCCTCCCTCATCTGTCATTTAAGAGAAGAACCACCCATCTTATTTCCCTCGTCTACTACCTGGGAAAAAAAACAGGCATACGAAACCCCACCCACCCGTTCTAACCTACTCCAGCATCAACCCCCTCTTCCCGTATCCACCTCCCATTTCTCTCTTTTTCCCTCTCCCCTCTCATCCACCCTTTCCCGCGGAGAAAACCCCTCAAGACCCACGTGTAAAGCACACGCACCCCTCCCCCCCCTCTCTCTTTCTCTATCCCCGCGGAGCTAAAATCCCAGGAACCCACGTGTACATCCCCCCCTCCATCCCATCCACACGCACACTGACCTCGCTGTTTATTTCCCATCCACACACACACACGCACACTTACCTCTCTCTCTCTCACCCCCGTTTATTTCCCCCAGAGGGGATCCTTATTTCCCACATGTGGATCCCTTCCCCCCCTCCCCCCCTCTTCTCGCTCCCTAGCTTCTTCCCACTACTTTCCTTTCCTTTACTTTTTTTTTAAAGTAACTCTTCTCTTACATGGAATGTATACAAGAAGAAGAAAAGAAAGAAGAAAAAAACGACCCTAACTTTTTTTCCCCGCTCTAGAAGGTTTCGAAAAGAAAGGAAAATGAGGGGAAGGGGAAGTGGGTCCGCGGGGTGAAGAAGCTTGTAAAGGGGTGTTGCTTCTTTTTCTTCTTCTTCTTCTTCTTCTTCTTCTTCTTTTTTCTGGTAGGGGGGGGGGGCGAAACGGGCGACAGGGTTAGAGTTTGGGATTGAGGGGAAAGTGAGGATGGATGGGTTGGTTGTGACGGGAATAGATCGTGGTGTGGCGGGGGAGAAAAAAAAACAAAGAAGGAGAGATGGTGGTGGTGTGTGTGTGTATATATGTATGTATGTGTGTATGTGGAGTTTGGTCGAAGGTATATAGTGTAACGTGTGGCCCCGCGGGGAGAGATATATATTAGAGTTTGATAGTTAGGTTTCTCCCGGCCGCCCTCCCCCCCCTTTTTTTTGATGAGGTGTAGGAATGAGGTGGAAAAGAGGTACGTAATGTAATTCCTCGTATATAGCTTTTTTTTCTTGGGAACATCCAGATTCTTACAATCTCCGGTCATGACTGACTCTCTCTCTCTCTCTCTTTTCATATTCTAAAAAAAAGGAATTCACGTGGAAAAGAAGAAAGCAACTTATTTGAACAGTTGGAAATAAGTTAGGATTCATCATCACGCCTATTTTTACCATGCGGAGAAGCCTGGCAGCCCGGAAAGAACCAAAAAAAACATACACACACATACACCGCGTTACTCCCAGAGACAAAAGGGAATTGATATACAAGTTGACACACAGCCGAGGTCAAGTTGTTTCCCACCCAAGCAAGAAAAAAAACGCCGTGAGACTATGCATGGAAATGTGACTGTAGAAGCCGTAACAAGACACAACACCACCCCGTTTCTCCCCTTCACACACACACCCATATACAACCAACCAACCAAATCAACCATGAAAAAGAAAAAACCCCTAACACCTAGGCATTACTCCCATGACTCCGAAGTTTCCTTCCAGCCGCCAACCCGGGGCCTACGCTATTCCCAAAATTCGTGATATTCTCCCGATCTGTCTTCTCCCCCGCAATCCCCACCGTCTTCCTCATCTTCTTCATCGGCAGCTTACTCACTTCCTCACTGCTTGTACGCTTATTCTTGCTTGGCGGCACCAGCCCGCTGGCCAGCGAGTCGGAAGAAGACTGGGATGCGAGATGGGGAAGAGGCTGCGTATGAGCTTCCTGCGCCACCACGTTAACATCTAGCTCCCGCAGAGAAGAGGGGTTGCCTCCTCCGCTAGTAGGGAGATGTGATATCGTGTGGGCATGCGCACTGATCAAGGGGAACTCGAGCTTGGTGGCGGTGGGAGAGAATATGCTGGTTGGGGAGGCGAGACTGAGAGAGTTTGTGGCGTCGTTGAAGATGGGTTGCTTGGATGGACTGCGGACGTTGCTGTCGGACGATGTGGGACGATTGCGGAGACGAGAAATGATGTTTTCGTGAGCTTCGGTGCGAGGAAGGGTCGAGGGGATGTTGTAGGATACGCGCTGAGGTGTCTCGCCAGTGGGGTTGTACTCGATGAGATTTTGGTTGGCGACAGTTTCACGGAGCTCGTGGAGTGGTGCGCGAATATCTGATTCAGCAGACAGCGATGGCAATGTCTCCTTCAGACCAGATGTGTGTTCTGACATTTCAGACTCGAGGGACTGTACGCGATCAAAGGAAGAAGCCAAGTGTTCTCCTATGCTGGAGTACGAGGCTCCTACTGTTGAAGAGAGTGCAGCGAGCGATGTTGTATGCGCAGCGTGGTGAGCATTGTTCTGCTCACGGATACGAGAAACGATGTCGTCCAAAGATTGCAACTGGGTGTCCAGATGCGCCATTTGGGCTTCGACCGTTTTGACAGTACTTTCATGAACAGATGTGGTGGTCTCCTTGATCGAGGTGGAATGTTCGGTTGCAGCCTGATTAACATTAGCGTGTCAAGTAAAAAACGACATGGTACACTTACAGCAAAGTCAGACTTGATCTTGGTCTTGACAGTCTCTCGCGATTTTGAGACACCTGCCAAGATGTCTTTTGATTTGTCTGACCACGCGTTGACGCCTTCTGTGTAGGCGCCCTGCTTGGCTTCGAACGCAGTGTTGGCAGCGGTAATTTCTCCACGCACAGCAGAGAGCCTTTCTTGCAGCCTCTTCTCTTGTGCATCTGCGTTTGCAGTCATAAGCGCAGTGATTTGTGCCAACAGCTCTTGCCGGTCCTCGGCAGACTTTTGTTTCTCTTCATCTACGAGTTTCGCAAGCTGGCCCTCGGACGCCTTGTGTGCCTCAATCAAAGCTGTGTTGGCCTCTACAACCTGCTGGTGTAGTCGCTCGTTTTCGACTTGCTGATCGTTCAAATCTTTGACCAAATCGTCGAAAGTGGTTTTGAAGTCGCGCCCTAGACTTGCATACGATGAGTGGACTTGCGTGTGGAAAGCATCCAATTCTGTGATGATGTTTGCCGAAATGGTCTCTGCTGCAGCAGAAAGCTCATCGAGGCCTGCGCCAATCTTAGTCTTCACCTCCTCGCGCAATGTCTTGATCTCCTCCAGGACCTCGTTCATGTGATCGCGCGCTTGCGCAGTCTGTCCGTTAACCTCCGCCTCGGATGTTTGGTATGCTTCCATCTTCTCTTGCAAGAAAGACTGCGAAGCGCCCAGCTTCTCGAGTTCATCCCGGACGAATGTCTGCATACGCTCCGAAATGGCATCCATCAGTTGTTCTTGCTGATGTTGGAACTCCTCGATCCGGTCTTCAACTAGGCGAGTGGTGTCTACAACCTGCGTTTGCGAAGAATTCCAATTACGTCGGTTTTGTGACTGGAGCTCGGATTTTCGGCGGATTTTCGACCTCAAGCCATCGATTGCTGATGTTGTCTTGCCCAAGGTTGACATCATGTCTCGTCCTACTTCTGCCAGCTCTTCTTCCGTCTTTTGGTGCGCCTTGCGTAGTTCCACTTCCTCGTCCAGGTTTTGACGAGTGTGGTTCAAAACAATCTCCGTCTTCTCCAAGATGCCCTTTGTGCCATCCAACGCCAATTGCGTCTGTTCATTGTCTTTTTTGAGTGTTTGGAACTTGGTTGTCAATTTGAAAAGGTCTTCAACCTTTGTGCGGAGATTGACCTCCATAGTCTCAAGTCGTTCGCGCTGCTCCTCACTAAGGATGCGTCTCGACTCGCTTACCGTCGTAATCTCATCGTAGTTTTCCTGGGTAAGGTAAACACCATTTCGTTGCCGTGTTGCTATCAACTCGCTCTTCAGCTTCTCGATTTCCATGGTGTACTCTTTTAACAGAGTTTTCTTGTTGATTGGCTGATTGACCTGGGGTTTGTTCCGGATGTTCTTTGCGCGGAAGGCGTAGTCCAGGGTGGAGATAGTTTCCTCGAGATTGCTCTTAGCTGGTGACAGGGTTGCAATGATGCAGGTCTTTGTTCGTCCACCTAGTGAGTCTTGCAGCAGACGGGTCAGCTTTGACTCCCTGTAGGGGATATGAGAGCTGCGCTCGACCAGCGCGTTGATAACGCGACCCAATGTTAGCAAACTCTTGTTGATGAGACCAGCCTCTGCAGCACGCTTGTTCTCAGCTCCACTGCGCTGGATGTTTTCACTACCAGCAAGATCGACCAAGTTGAGTTTTCCGGCGCTAAGATATTCCTGACCATCTTCTGTTGTTCGCTTGATATACACGGTAATGGTAAAAACAGTATGACTTCGCGAACTGAGGTCGTTGCACTTTGTCGCCGCGACTTGTCGCTTGTGACTTCCATTGGCCAGGAGCTTGATACCCTCGGACGCAGTCTTGAGATGGCATTCCTCCATGCCCTGCACCAAGGTAGTGGTGGAACCCTTCTTGCTGTTGTCGTCGTAGATTTTGAGTTTTGTGGCATCGTCGGGGGATAGCAGATCGCGCAGCTCTTCGTTGTACAACTCGATAAAGGAGCATTTTACAGAGTTCTCAATCTCATCAGCTTCGAGGCGTTCGAAAAGAGCGTGCAGTACACGCGGTACTATTCCCGCAGCATCTGGGAGTGGCAGGACGTTGGAGATGTCACCAGTCATGGTGTAGGTTTTGCCAGTACCGGTTTGGCCATAGGCAAAGATTGTGCAGTTGAAGCCGTCAACGACCTAGGGTGGTTGTCAGCCGCTGCCACCATAGACGGCATCGTCTCAAATTACCTCATTCAAAATTGGCGAAACGACCTCGTCGAAGATCATGCTCTGATCGGCTGCGGGAGAAAAGACCTTGTCGAATTGATATGTCTTGTTGCTGGCCGAACTAGGCCCCATGGTCAAGTCTACAGTCGAACCCTTGATTCCGTTCGTTGACACGACGACGCCGCTGTTTTCGCGCACTTCGCGGTCGTTGCGCCCTCTGCATCGGACGACAACATTGATGTTGGTCTCTTCTCCTCCATCGATCTCGAAATCCCGGACTTGGCGCTTGAGGGGCGATGATCGCAGTGCCCTTGATGTCGAAGCCACTGATTCTGCTCTTGATGTGCGGCCATCCATGGCGGGTGTTCCTGATCGGCCACGCGCTAGATGCGGTGGTCGCGTCGTTGGAGGGCGCATTGCTGTTGTGGTGCGCTTGGCCTGCGCCCCTGGTCTTGGTAGGCCAGACATGGTGACGCTCTGTATGTGGTGAGCGTACTTGTGCTGGTGGTTAGGATGGCGGGCGTTTGGTGTTGTGTTGAAGCAGCAAAGTAAACAATCGGTAAACACATGTTGCAGGGATCCTGGGGCGTCCAAGCTCAGACCACGCGCCATGTCCCTTCACGAACCCCTCGCGCTACGTCAATGCAGACTTCCACTTGCATATCTTTGTGCCTATTGCGACAAAGAGGCTGATACTGGGATCATATCACTTTACAAGCCGTTTGATCCGGCACTGCTCTGCTATCCTCCACGCCTTTCCGAATCCATGGATTAGGCGTGCTAGAGACGGACCCTGAAGCCCCGCCACCCCTCGTGCATCTACTGTACAATAGTAGCTGGACGGCTGCATTTCTAGATACATCGCGCTGTCGCAGTGCCTAGGCCGTTCATCGCTCCGTGTTCTGCGTTGGGTCTCTCCTGTGGGCGTGTCATCTGTCCTCGTGGACAAGGGCACGAGCTCATCCCTATCATCTGTGAGCTAGGTAGCAGCGCATCCGCTAGCAAGCCTACTACACTCTCTTCAAACACCTGTACTCTATACATCTCCACAAGGCCCACCATGGAGGATGGAAACATGCATTTACAGCCAGGTCGCAGCATAGGCTTCATGAGTTGGTTACAATAGCCTTTGCGCGGTACCAAGCTGACTAGAATACAGCCCTCGGTTGCTCATTGCACGAAGTACTGACGACCATCAAAGCCGAAGTCAAGACCTTTCCGCGCTTCCAGCTCTACCACGACGACTTCCACCCTCTTTCTTCTCCAGTGCAATTAGTCCTTCCTGACAACGGTCTGCGCCTACAGTTTGATGGTCCTGATCAGCGGCTACGCCTTATCGAAGTGCTCGATTTCGCAAAAGCCCGACTAGTATACAAGGACATCGATGTCTACAAGCCTGCGGATGGAGGTTTCTCGGCAGGCCCACCAGGTCCAAGGTTCAGGCATGTCTACGACAAGCTACTAGGACCGACTTATGGCGGGGAGTATGTGCCACCAAAGTCGGAAGATCCAAACGCAATGGGAACATACAACCTATCATATCCAGGCATAGCTTTTAATTTCCCCGTTCAACACTCTGCATATTCTCCAAAGAAGGACTTCATTTCGCTTTTGTCGTCTTCTGCTACCGGTCCAGCCACATCCATGGCCGTCTTCAGCGGGGAGTCATGGCAGAAGGCGCGTGCGACTCTTTTTACTGCTCCTCCGTCAAATCCAAGATCACTGATGCTAGGTAAAGCGAAAGACAGCGGACCAGATGAGATTGAAACAGTCAGGGTACATGGCGAAGGCAGGATAGAGCTTGTGAGACGTTCAAGTCCCCCATTTTGGATTATTCTTAGCGAGACGACACCCCAAGATCTGATTATGGAACTGGGAGCCCCCGATTCAATCTACCGCAAGAACGATCATCGATTATCTATTCACAAAGATCGGAGAACCAGTGATGCATCAGACCTTTCTCCTGGTGGTCTCACACCCGATGAAGACTCAGATCCGGGTTCAGCCATAAGGAGCGATGATGAGGATGCATGGGAAGACGACGACGAAGCAGTTCTAGAAGCTCAGGAGCGGGAAATTGCTGCAGCAGAGCACTTCTACAACTACTATCACCACGGCTTCGACATATTAATCTCTCAGCCCACGCAGATTTCCCCACCTTCGCCAACTGCTGAAAGGCGAGAGAGTGATGTACAGGACGCAGGGGAGCTCAGCGCGCAACCTCTAAATCATCTTACCGCAACCAAGATCATATTCCACGGAAATATTCCAGGATCATACCAATTCAACCGACATCGAAGAAGTAGATGGACTCTTGAACACGTCCCCTCAGCCATGTACCGAGAGCCGCTTAATTCTGAAATGGGATTTGGCGACATCTCCGGACGCTTAAAGGAGGTTTTCAACCCACACTACGAGAATGAAGAACAAGAGCGATTACAACAGCGTGGTATGGCTCTGAACCGTGGTTGGGGCGATAGTCCAGGGAGCAGCTGCGAACTTCTAGGAGGATGGGAAGATAGTTCAGGGAGAAAGAGCAAATTTGCCAACGCTGGTAGTGTACTCATGGAAGGTGTCACGGATGTGGGTAACGTAGAGCTATTTGGATTTCCTGGCATGGTCTTTGAAGTGCTCAAGAATGGGGCTGTGAGCTCTTTGACTGTTTACTGAGAATACACGGTTTGAATTGGGTGTTGAGAGTCGAATGGCGTTCAGGATACGGTTATTGAATGAATGACAGATGACCAAACCAGCTTAGATACCATAAAGATACGTTGTTTTTACCCCATACGAGTAGTATATTCAAGCAATTGCAAACACACTTTAAACCGCAACGTAGTACCACATCACCCCACTACTATCTCCATCTTATCTCCGAACACCCCAACCCCAAAAAAATATACAGCGCACCACCCGGCCGACTCCCAGCACCAATTCCCTTCGACCCACAATGCTATTATGCTAACCCCGACGCATATCCTCCGCGCATCATGGTCCAACACCCTGCGACTCCCAAAATCGAATTTCCCGCCTAGACCGCTTCCGTCTGCGAACCGCGAGTACCTGCGCCGATGCACCGATGAGCTGTATGCCTGGCAGCGGAGTCCCGACCGCATTGTGTACAAAGGACACTCCGAGAAGCAAGGCAATGGCCAGACGCTAGAAAAAGAGAAAGAGGGATCTGCTATAACAAGTTTCACACTACATGATGGACCACCGTACGCCAATGGACCGCTGCACATTGGGCATGCCCTGAATAAGATTACAAAAGACGTGATTTGCAGGTTTGAAGTTGGGCAAGGGAAAAAAGTGTCTTATATTCCTGGTTGGGACTGCCATGGCTTGCCTATCGAAATCAAGGCACTGCAGGCGCAGAAGAAAGATGCAGCGCAGACGGATGCGGTGAGTGTGCGGGAGGCAGCACGGGAGTTGGCAACGAAGACGATTGAAGAGCAGAAGAGTGGGTTTAAGGAGTGGGCGGTTATGGGGGAGTGGGAGAATGCGTATCAGACCATGGAGCGGGGGTTTGAGTTGAGGCAGCTCGAGGTGTTCAAGGTTATGTTTGAGAAGGGCCTGGTTTATAGGCAGTTTAAGCCCGTGTATTGGAGTCCCAGCTCGCGGACGGCGCTGGCAGAGGCGGAGCTGGAGTATGATGAGGGGTATAAGAGTTTGGCGGCTTTTGTGCGGTATCCTGTGAAACTGTCGGAGACACTCAAAACTGGGGCGCTGAAGGATGTTGAAGATGAAGTCAGCGTGGTGATTTGGACGACTACACCTTGGACTTTGCCAGCAAATAAGGCTATTGCGGTGCACCGGGATATGCAATACTGCATTGTTAAAGATGCAGGAAACGACAACGAGCTAATCCTCATTGCTGCTTCAAGGATATCCGAGTACGAAAAGATTCTCGAGCGCAAGCTCGAAATCGTCGTATCAGAGCTCCGCGGCTCAGATCTCGCCGACCAAGTCCAGTACGAAAATCCGTGCCAAAAGGCCTCGGGACTCCAACCCATCATCCACGCAGACTTTGTCACAGACACGTCAGGTACAGGCTTAGTCCATCTCGCGCCCGGCCACGGCATGGACGACTACAATGTTTGCACGCCCCTCGGCATCCCAGCATTTGCCCCTGTAGATGACGCGGGCGCCTTCACCAAGGATGCGTTCCCCGAGCAGCCAGACCTACTGGAGGGTTTGCCAGTCACTGATATCAAGAAATCCGGTAGCAACGCCGTGTGCAACTACCTGCAGCAACTGGGTTTGCTCCGTGCAAAGCAGAATTATCGGCACAAGTACCCGATTGATTGGAGGACCAAGGAGCCCGTCATCACACGAGCTACGGAGCAGTGGTTTGCAAATGTTGAAGGGATCAAAGATGCTTCGATGAAGGCAATTGCTAATGTTACCTTTAAACCCGAGTCTGGGCGTAGTCGCTTGGAAAGTTTCATCCAAGGTCGGAGTCAATGGTGCATTTCGCGGCAGCGCGCTTGGGGTGTGCCTATACCTGCTTTGTACAGGGTAGAGGGTGATACACTTGAAGCAACCATGGATTCCAAGGTCATCGAGCATATCATTCAAGTCATCAAAGAGCGCGGCATCAATGCATGGTGGACCGACGCACCAGACGATCCAGCGTGGAAGCCCTCACACCTCAACGGCACATTTGTACGTGGTAGAGACACAATGGACGTATGGTTCGACAGCGGAACAAGCTGGACTCTTTTACCCCCACAGAAAGACAAACCCGTCGCCGATGTCTACCTCGAAGGCACCGACCAGCACCGCGGCTGGTTCCAATCCTCGCTCCTCACCCACGTCGCCAGCCAACCCTACTCAACCGCCCCCGTAGTCAAAGCACCCTACAAAACCCTCATCACCCACGGCTTCACCCTCGACTCCGACGGCCGCAAAATGAGCAAGTCCCTCGGCAACGTCATCTCCCCCTTCCAAATCATGTCAGGCGAACTGCTTCCCCCCGTCAAGCGCAAGAAGCAAAAGGGCGTAAAGCACGACACCACAGCAGCTGCTGCTGCTAAACACGCTCCTACGTACGACTCCATGGGCGCCGACGCACTACGTCTCTGGGCTGCAAGCAGCGACTACACGCGCGACGTCACCATCGGCCAGCCCTTGCTCATGTCCGTCAACCAAGCCCTGCACAAGTACCGTGTCACGTTCAAATGGCTACTAGGCATCTTCTCCTTGTCCTCGTGTCCCCCACCGTTTGTATCCTTCAACCACCTCATCCCCTCGACGCGCGAGTTTAGCGAATTGACAGATCGACTCGCGGTCCATCGGCTAGTGCAGGTAAGCAACGAAGCGCATGCGCATTTTGCCAACTACGATTTCTACAAGGGAATCAACACGTTGAATCGCTACATCGCCATGGACCTGAGCGCCTTCTACTTTGAGACGCTAAAGGATAGAGTGTACACGGGTGATACATCCGATTGCCAGACGCTGCAGCGCGTTTTAGGTCTGATTTTCTACGAGTTGCTGCAGATGCTGGCGCCGGTTTGTCCGTTGCTTGTCGAGGAAGTGTGGGATCATGTCCCTGCTGCCCTCAAAGACAAGAGTGTTCATCCTGCGCGCGCAACGTGGGCGCGGCTGACACCGCTGCCAGCGTCTGAAGCGGAGAGCTTGGAGCGCATGAGCGGCGTGGTGGGGGCGCTGGGTGGTGTGATTAAGATTGCGCAAGAGAGGGTAAGGGCGGAGAAGAAGATTGGGTCGAGTTTGGAGTGTGCGGCGACTGTTCATCTGCCTGCGTCTAGCATTGAGGCGTTGAGTGAGGCGTTCGCAAGTGCCATGCATCCACTCAACCTCAAAGCTGAAGACATGGAGAATCAGCTGGCAGGTTTGTTTGTCATTAGTGAGGTGAGGATACGCGCTCTACCTGACGATACTTTGTCTAGGGCGGCTTCAAGTGGGCAGCTCGGCTTTGTGACGGAAGATACCGAGCAGATGAAGCGGCAGTGGGCGTGGGTGGAAGAGGAAGCTGTGGCGGCAAGTGGAGACCAAGGCAGTGATTTGCTTGCAAAAGCACAAGTGCTGGTGCATCCCCCTAGTCGGGAAAAGTGTCCGAGGTGCTGGCGCTTTGTCAAGGAAGAAGCGGAGGATGTGTGTGGCAGGTGTGCGCATGTTGTGGAGAAGCAGGGCGGGGTTTAGAGATTGCTGTTACTGTAAAATGCAGCATGGCTCGTGGGCTTGTATAATATGTATGTATATGTATATGTATGATGGTGATGAATCCAAAAAAACCCCCTTCCTCCCATAGGCTCCTTTGGTCCTTTAGTGAGCACTCTGCCCATTCACGTATGTAGATATTCTTTGCGCTCACTCTCGTAAATTGAACGAGATTTGTCTTTCCAGTTAGGAAATGATGACCACAATAGTTCTTCTAGGCGCGCTCGGCATACAGGATATACCTCGTATGGAGCCCAACAGAAAAGGGCACACGGCCTACTCACGATGAGAGTCAGAGGCTTACCCAAAGGTTTCGGAAGTGGTAGTTTTATCGAGTCAGCATCCTCAACTCCGTGCCGGGACATGTTCCCCGTCCAACTAGCAAATGGCCTTGCCCCCCCACATGGTGCGTGGTCGGGATGGCTTAGAAGCTTTGCTGACCTGCAAACGCGTCACTGTGCTTCGTTATGTGAGAATTTAGGTTCATGACAGAGGTCTCAAGACCAGTTAGTTGTGTTGAGGGTTGAAGTTGCAGAAAGGGCTGGATACGATGATGGCCGACGCCCAAGTTAGTTGGTTGGCCCCCAGTAATATTGAGCCACATCCCTGGGGCGGACTTCCAGCGCAGAGGGTTTGGAAGGTAACCCGAACCCAGCTGAATGTTTACTCATGCTGCCTCCCTGCCAAGGCTGTTTTTCGTTTAAGAGGACCAGTAAGAGGAGCGGGTGAGTGAAGAGAGGAAAGCGGTATTTGGAAATGCAAAAGCGTCTAACGTTGTGTGACATTGGGCTGCGTTGTCGTGTGCTAATCATGGCGAGTTTGTATGTTATATGCGACTAGCGTAGGACATTGCAATTGTAGACGACATTGACGCAGGGCCAGGGATAGCTTACACTGACTGGTGGCTAAGCATTCGGCAGTTGGCATCCGTACCTAGGCGGGAGTGGCCAGATTACGCGGATACGAGGCAAAGGTCAATCGCCAAAGCATGTTATGCTCTGACTTTGGTCTAGAAGCGGGTGTCAGTGAGAGGCTCCGTCGAGATGCGATGGCGGGTTTCAGGAAGGATTTGGGCCATTGGTCCAATGCGAGAGCTACTGCGGTGTTATTATCTGAAATAGAAGTAGCCTCATATCCACACTGTTAGCCACGATTGTGCTATCTGTTCGGTGCTGATTGGCTTGGTCGCAGCCATAGAGTTCCAATTGAACGGTCACTGCAATATACTAATCAAAAGAGAATCCACAGTTGGGCGTCATTTGACATGTGGGTGCAACGAGGAAGAATTGAGCCGATGGGCGGAGGAGGGGCGGAGGAACAATGGCTGGCGGGAGGAGCTTGGCGCGGGGATAGGCTGAATCGTGCAGCAGACGGGACGAGAGCCTGGAGGGCGGTCGTGGCCGTGAAGCAGTTCATGACTGTTGCAGGTGCAGGCACAGGCGTTGACCCCAGATTTCAGCTGACCAAGATGTGCGATCAGCAGCCTTGTCAAGGTCTTATCTCGTCAGCTAGCGATGCGGGCAAGGGTCGACATGAAGGCGAGGCCAAGAGGGCGGGCAGGGTTTTTAGGGGAAGTGGGCGAATTAGGGCGGGGAACGCGGTGTCTGGCTGTTCGCCGCTGGCTGCGGTGGGTGGAGTGAGCAGAGTGACCTCACAGCACAGCACCGTGCAAGTGTCAGTGTGGTGGGCACGGGCCTAGCGCTGCTTACGTGTAGTGTAGTGTAGTGTAGCGAAGCCGAGGCTTCGGCAAGCAGCAGTGCACATGCCGATCTGGTGGCTAGACCAGCGCGCTAGGTTGTGTGGGAGAAGGGCAAGGCTGTCAATGTAGGTGTACTAGGTGTAGGTAGGTAGGTAGGTAGGTAGGTAGGTAGGTAGGTAGAAATGTCCATGCCACGCTGATGCGCATTTGCCGCGCCATACTGTGTAGGCTGCATGCATATCAAGTCAACGGGGAGGCAGATTGCAAAAGACGCAATGTGCCGTGTGTCTATTTGAAGAGGGGGACGGGCTGTCGAGCTGGGAGCAGTTGGCAAGTGGGAGATGGAAGCAGCAGTTGGGGCTTGGGCTGGGGGCTCACGGTCAGCCGTCGTTGATCAGCAAGCATCTTTCGCCTGCAATAGCGGACCGAACAGGGGGGCTCAACAGTTGGACCCCACAAGTGACAGAGGGGAGTGTTCGCCGTCGCCACTTCCAGAAGCTTTCTTTGGCTGGGATGCTGGCGGGAGATGACGACGGCTGTGTGGCGACAAACGGCGGGGGCGTGTCAGACGAAGCGCACAACTGGAGGGGTGGTGGCAGAGGCAAAAGCTGAGCCAGGCAGAAGTTGAGGCACACGGGTTGCCAGCGCACATGGAGGAGAGGAGTAGGGGGGAGAGGGAGGGAGGTAGGGTAGGGTAGGTTAAGGTAGGGCAGGGCAGGGCAGGACAGGGCAGGACGGGGGCTAGCGGGGGGGGAGGTGGCAGGCAGAAGCAGCAGGAGTCGTAGCAGGTAGAAAGCAGCAGACGCAGGTAAATGTATGCACAGCACTGTGTGCCGCATGGTGGAGGGGAGGATACGAGGCCCACAGACAGTGGACCAGCCGTGGGAAGCGTTTCAGGACGGAGCCCGTCCTGCAGCCAAGCTTGCGCGAGCGGCTCTGGCGCACACACACACACCACCGACAAGGGACGAGCGCGTGAACCGGCGGCCATGCAGTGCAGGGCGACTTGGCTGGGTGGGTTGCGCGTTGGGCAGGGCCTTGGGCCATGGCCTGCGCGGGCTGAGACGAGCTACTGGGGAAATATTGGAATGGGGGAATGGGGGATGGAGATGGGATGGGATGGGATGGATGAATGGGGAATATTGGACGGGGGGCGGGCAAGGGCAAGGGCAAGGGCAAGGGCGACTGGCAACTGGCAAGGGCTGGCAATGACGCGGCGGAGCATTTGGCGGACCGACAAGCTTCCAGAAGGCTTAGGGTGCTTCGACGGCGGTGCTGTTGAAGGCGCGGGTGGGGACTTGCCCACTGCAGACTGGCGCACTGGCACGCCCTGCTCGTTCCGTCTCGAGTAACCCAATCACCGCGCCACGCCTGCATTCAATCCTCTCCTCGCTCCTGCCCTTGCACCCTCTCCCACGCCCACGCCCATATACCACCCTCACCATCCTCCCGCGACCACCCATGCCGCTCCCACTGCAGCCCCTTCTGCGAGTGCGCTGCATGCGACACTGACGCCCTCCACCACAACCCCCTGCGTCGCCTCTTGCGCCTGCTAGAGCCATCGAGAGCTGACACGCCCAAGCAGCCCTCTCCCGTCCACACGACCACGTCCCAACTCCTCTGCCCTACTACTGCCCTACCACCACTAGTCCTGCCACTACTACCACCACCACCACCACTATACCACTGTACCACCACCACAACAACAACACCCACAGTCACAACCACCACCACCACCTTCGTTTCCACCCGCCCACGACGCCGCCCGCCGTGTCCGCTGCTCCCACTTCTTCTGCATACTTTCTGTTTCCGCCCTCCTACGCCGACGCGCCTGCTCCACGTCTGCCCTCGTCCTGCCTGCCCGCTCCCGCTCCCACAGACGAGACGGTACCGACTGCCAGGCACCGCCCGAGCCGCCGCCTCCTCCTCCGCGCCTTCCTGCCATCGGCGCCTGCCTTCCCCATTGTCGCATTCGCCATCAGCGCCTTCCTTGTCCTGCTGTAAACAATTACCCAGTCTCCGAGTCGTGTGCGCTCCCTGCCGCTCGCGACTCCGCTAGCATCCCTGGGGCCTCCCATCGACGTCGCCGTTTCAGACTGCATCTCGGACCACCAGGCGCATTGCCACCATCTCGTTTGTCCAGTCCCCCCACGCTGCTAGATCTGTTGCATCGTTTGCATCTGTCCTGCGACCACTGTCTTGCGACCACGACGCTGTCCTCTCCCCCCCCCCCAACATTCCCCCTTCAACCCACCACCACCACCCCCCCTCTCCACCCCATTTTGCGACATCACCATCTCGCCCTCCCCTCTGCGCTGGAGACCAGTGCTGGCTGGTCGCCGCACATAGGCGGAGAAAATGGACCATGGCACGTGCAACGTAGTCTACATTGACCGACGGGCCAACGACGAGCATGTGCGCAAAGAGAACCTGTCCAAGTCGCTTGTCGCCCGGACGAGCACTGGAAATGTAGGCCAGAGCTACTTTGCCATGGGCAAGGCGTCCCCGCGCGAGGTCCACGACAATGTCGAAGCCATGCTGTCCATCTCCACCGAAGGTACGACGAGCGCATTTCGCCCAACATGGCCATGAGTGACTCCTAACTAACACCCTCGTCCAGTACACATCTGCAGCACAGGCCGGGCCTGTCTCCAGAAGATCAACCAACTCGTTGATGACACCAAGACCGCCATCCCTACCTTTGTCATAATAGATGTTCCCTTTGATGAAGAGCAGCGCATGAAACGCCTATCTCGCGAACCACGCACGCCCTCGCCCACGTCGTCGCGCATGAACCGCATGGACACTGCCGAACCAGACGACATCTACGCCATGCACCTGCTCACTCACATCGCCTCTGAGATTTCGTCCCGCAATTTCTCCAAGCTCGTCGTGCCCGTAGTCATGCTGTCGGGAGTGACTCTGGACGAACCATCGACCTCGGGTCCGCTCCCTTCGCCTGGTCTCCACATGTCGTTTCCGCTTGGTGATACTGTCCGATTAACGCGTTATCTCGATGCCGGCGCTGTCGATGTGCTGACCAGTCCCATGTCACGAGAACGTATGCTTGGCTTGGCTGTCCACGCCTATCGGCTACAAAAAGAGTTCAACCGGGAAGAAGCAAGTTTTCTGACCACTAAGCGCAATCGGAAGCTGTCTTGGGTTGGCGTCGACGATGCGAAACCGTATGCTTATTTGCGTGAGGCCATGGTCTCAAATCTGATGACTGGCATTTGCAACCCGGAAACCGTGGGAGATTCTCTCGACTCCATGTGCGTATACG